ATGTATAAATCTGTGTTTTTATTTCAATAATTTTCGTGCGCGCTTGCGGAGGTAGCGTGTTTTTCTGCGGATCAATATGCCCCCCCTTCCCCCCCCTCCTCATCCCCGGCAACGCGCAAGCGCTCGGGACCGTGTGGGAATGGTCGGTCGGCGGACTGGGGGTTGGACCGCTCCGAGCCAAACACAGCAAAAGAGTTTTAAATGTCCGCCATGTTGTCCATGGCGCTCTGAGCCACCGATAGGGAGCGGAGCGTCGGAAAAAAACAGTCCGAGAGCGAGCGACCGAGATCCGGGCCTTCCCCCGGCTCCGCTGGCGACGCCCTAAACCCGAACCACCACCATTCGAACGTTAGAGTCGACCCGAACAGAAACCATCCATGAAAGCTCCACTCGGCTCCGTTGTGGAAACCAGGAGATCGGATAGATTTATATTTAATCTCGAATTGTGAGGAGAAAAAAATGAGTAAATTGTCGTTTCGGGCACGGGCGCTGGACGCTTCCAAGCCACTACCCGTCTTCCGTTGTGAGGATTTACCCGACCTACACGAGTATGCATCGATCAACCGGGCCGTGCCACAGATGCCCACGGGGATGGAGAAAGAAGAAGAATCGGTATGTTTTTTAGGTTTCATTAAAACATATTATAAGCTTTATTTTTTTTACACAACCAGTGGCGCCTCTCGTTTTTTTTTCCTGCGCCAGCTTTCACAAAATGGCCGCCATTTTTTCTCGTCGGAAACACGACGGATTTCTGTCGCTAACGGCTCCCGTGTGGGACCTGGACGGGTGTTTTGGCAACGCGGGGACACTTCGGGTCCATTTTGGGTGGAAATTCCAGGTTTTATCGGTTTGTTTGTGTGAGAGACGGGTTTCTGAGTACAAAGGAGTCACGTGACTTCGGCAGTTCCGACATTTTGTGCCGTCTCGTCTGGCCGCGGCCTTGTGTTGGCCCAGCGGCAGAGGGCCGCCGCCAGGGGGCGCTGTGGCTCTCAGCTCCGTGTCTGCCGCTGACAAATGTCAACAATGCTGCCATGCATTAGTAGATAAAACCATTTTAACGTTGTTAATCATCATTATGTGTATGATTCTTTGCACAGTGTTTTATATATAACAAAAAGACATTTGTTTAAATTTATTTATGTTTATTCTTGGCTAAAGTGGCAGCGGTTGTAGGGACTGTTTGAACAGTAAACATCAGCATGTTTGTGTGTGGCTGACAGATAAGTGCATCATTTTAATCTCCCATTTACCAGAAAGGATTTTATTCTTTGCTGTGTTTACTTTGACTCCAGGTCACTGCCAGGGCAAGGTGGTTTTAGGGGGAACTCCTTGCTGAGCTGTAATGGCTGCTGTTGGGTCTGAAGCTGTGTTTACATTTGATTTGTGAAGTTGTTGAATCAGGGGGAAACTCCCTGCACTTCATGTGATGTGTACTCATGGTGGTCATTCTCAAACATGGGGTTTGGACCCTGATTTGTGTTTTTAAACAGAGTTAAGGGTCTTGATGATGCCTAGGATCAAGTTAATTAAAATAAAAGTGATTCCTTGCAGCTTATTTTTGTTGCACGTGTCGAAACCGTGAAAATGTGATATTAATGTTATTGATCCCTGTAGTTATTAGCATGGTTGTAGCTGTTTTTTGTTCAGTGTATCACTAAGGCAGGTAGTATTCAAATATCAGTAAATCTGTAGCTGTGATTCAGGTTCAGGTTTACCTCAACCCTTTTTGTTTCTGTGTGAAGTGTCACGATGTGCTCCTGTGTCCCACTTCTTTCAGTTCTGCAGGCTTGCAGAGGCTCTGTGTCAGGGGTTCAGTGTGTCAGATGGCACAGCAGGCTGGCAGACGAGCGGCACGTGGCCTTCTGGAGGAGATCAGGATGGTGGGGGAGGTTGCTGTCACTTCAAAGTCTGCTCTCTGCTCAGCTGGAGCCCCTGATTATGTAACAGTTGTATTATCATAAGACACGGTCTGCAGCCTTCTGTGGAGCAGACTTTATTTTTTTATTACGTGTTTTTATGTTTTTGTGCGGCGCTCCTCTCGCCTCGTCCCAAAGAAAAATACTGCAGGAGCAGGCAACATTTGGTTTCCAGCAGGTCTTATTGATTTAGTTAAAGCAATCGGAGTTGCTTCTCGTCCAATTAGAGAAATGTTCCTCCAGGCAGCGATGCTTGACACTTCAGGGCTTTTATTTTACTTTGTCCAATGAGAACTACTTTTGTTATTTAGTCAGAAAATATATCCTTTAATTAAAATATAAATTATGCTGATTGTGACAAAATATCAACGTTTCATGCAGTTAGAAGATGCCTTTTAAAATGCGTCTCTTAAAATATGCAATACTTTGCCAAACATGAATGATAACATTGCAAACATAAAAAATAAACATTAAAAAGGTTACCCGTTTTATACCAATCTGTGGGGTTTGAATAATCCAACTTCAACAGAGGTTTTCCAGATATATTTAAATGAATTTAATAGAATAGAAATAGCCTTTATTGTCCTGCCGAGAGGAAATTCAGGGGTCACAGCAGCATCAGTACAGATGTTCACACACTAGTTATTTTAGAAACTATAGATAGTACACACAACAAAATTAACACTGACTAACCATGATACAACTACTGATAGTAAAAAATATAACAAAGAATTGTGCAAGGTAAAAAAATGTTTTACAGAATCTGACATTAGGAATTAGAAATTGCCTGTTTTCAGTGCAGTGTAAATGTAAACAAGTAATGTAAACAAAGTTGAATCTGCCAAAAACTACATAGAAGGTGAAGACAAATGTTGACAGGAATGATGCAGTTTGTTGTCTGGGTGGTGATGATGAAATCGAGCGCAGAGATGTAAGAAATACTGTTATTCTGTATAACATGATGTTTGTCTACGGGAGACGAGACAAATGTCAGTTTAGAAACGCCTGAAGTGCTTCACTTTGTGGTGTAATTGTACATTTTCTAGTAAAGCAGGTTAAATGCACCCCCCATTTTCAGTTTATATAGGTTTTAAAAATCTGGGCTTTATCACTCTAAATTTGAGGATACGTTTATTTTTTAAGTTCTTGTCCGTTACTTATTTTCAACTTTGAAATTTTCCTTAGATAAACACATTAAACATTAGTCATGCACAAATTTTGCCTGCAAACTTTCTAATTTAAGAACACATTAACAATCGATATGAAGGAATTGTTACATTAATGTAAAAGCTTCTCAGATTCTCGTTAATTTAGACCTTATTTTGTCTGACTGATCAATAAAATGTTAGTTTTTTATTGATTTTTATTTTTATCTTTTTAGAGCTCAATGATTTCCCAGAAGGCCTGATTTCATTCATGTGTTCATGCATGTGGTTTCTTTATTTCCCAACAAGATGCTCTTCATTTGAAAAGTGCAGATTGGATTTATTTTGCAGCGTTCTGAAAAATATCAGCTGTGCACGATTCACTTACCACCACCCGACCACAGCGACTACCCACTCGGTGTGAAGTGGTCTGCAGACTGGATGTGTGGTGTTCCCACACTTCCTGTTAGTCTGATAAACGTTTATCAGCGAGCTGTTCAGGTCTACCCACAATTCAACCCTTCTTATTCAGCTCGTCTGTAAGAACCAGGCTGTCTTTGCTGCTTGCTTCTTCTTTTTTTAAGGAGTTGTATCTCAGTCCAACATGTGGGTTTGTAGTTTGGAGCGTGGCTCGACTACAAAGCCAGGATCGCTGAAATTCCTGCAGCACGTGCAGCCTTGTTTGTTTTGGGTCGAACACTTTGTCTTGTGTTTACGTTTGGTTAAGAGTGAGGTCAGTGTCTGCAGCCCTGTTGGGAACCCACAGGCATCTGTTGTCTTTGCCAGACACCTACACACACACACACACACACACACACATACACATTCTGGCAAACAACCAGTTCCACTCAGAGTGACCTTGCTGTGTGGGAATATGGAGCGAGTCACCTGTTCAGTGTCTCTGCCAGCTTCACGCTGTGCATTTAAAAGCTAGTAGAGTCGTCAGGTTTGTTTAGCGGTGAAGAAATTACACGGACCGCCATGTTTGCCAGCACGGCTGGAAAATTGGAGCAGATTGTGAAAATATTCAAGAATTTAAGTTTTTTTGTTTTTCTCTGGTAAATATTTTCCATCTTAGACACTTTGTCATTTTGTCTTAGACTTTTTAAAATGTTGCCTAACTATTAGTGGTTTGGGATACAATCTGTCCTGTAAGCGTTTGTAGCTTCCTGTATTTGAAACATGTTGAAATAAAGTTTTTTTCTCTTTTTTACTGTTTTTCTGCAGTCAGAACACTGACCTGCATTTGTATTTCACATTTTTCTTACATCCATTAAGCTTAAATAAAAAACCGATACAGAGCTTTTGAAAATTCATAAAGTATCAGGAAGTGAATCGTTATTTTCTTACACCCCTATGACGCAATTTAATTTTCTTTATTGCTGACTTTAAACCTTTGATTTGTGTACAAATTTCTGGTGATAATCGTGATGCTAATCATGTTAGCTTGGTGTTTTCACTGTTGGCGATTATGCTAATTGATTTTTTTTTTGTACTTTTTCAGTCACAAAAATATCAAAGCCAGTTTGTGCAAAAAAAAGGGCACACAGTTAGGTTTTAAAGTAATTTGAATGCATTTATATTGTTTTTATTAATCACATTACAGCCCTCAGAATCATATTCAAATTGTAAATATTCACAGCTACCAACTTTTTTCACAGTTCTGCTTTTAACTCTGCAGTTAGATGGACTCTTAACTCGCCTCATAAAGCAGAGGCTGATAGGCGGCTTTAATTCTCCCCCCAGTTGAATATTATCTCATCCCACACAGCATAAAATTGCTTTTTGTCTCAGGTTGTACCGGACGATCCCCAGCAGCTGTGCGCTTATATTATGTGAAATTTACAATGTGGGAAAGCGGATGTTAAAGAAGAAGCAGCAGGAGGCTTTGGCTGGCTCAGCAGTCTTGACAGTGATTGATTTGGTCGTTTTAGGAGGCTATTTTTGGACTCTGTGTGTGGCTTTTTTTACACATGAGGTCACCAGTTCTTCCTCTGAATTCAACCTGATGACCTCATTTTGGGTTTACTTATCATTGGGCAAACGGCCACAGCCGGGGGAAGTAAACAAACATTTGATTAGGCTTAGCAGACCATGCATTGTTGCTTGAGGCTTCTCTTTTTTTTTTCTTCTTCTTTAAGAATTTTTAAGTCATTAAACAGATCCCCCCAGGAAGCTGCTGGTTTGTTTATTTACTGGGTGAAGAGTTAAATCAGGTGGGAACATGGAGGTTAAGATATAAACTCAATGTTTAGAAACGCCAACAATAAAACCAGAAACTTCTCTGATCAGCGTGAAGGACCAGAGTTAACTAGGATATTTTTAATCCTAAATGTTTAAACTAACAGTAGTGTGGGACGTCATAAAATACACTTTACTGTTTACTGAAGCCCTATTTTACTAGTTTATTCTAAGTGAAATAATGGTGACAACTCTTTGCTTAATGAGTAAAATTAGTGCAATAAATTAGCTTGAGTAATAAATTAGTATGACCTTTTAAACATAAGGTGAATATGATTATTTTAAAGTTTTCACATAAAACAGAATAATTGTTACAAAGTATGTGCAACGTTTTTAAAACGATCTAATTTATGTTTGTTTCTGAGCTCATCAGATCTCATTAAAACATATTTAATGTGGTTTATTACAGTTTTAATATAGTTTGAATGTGTTAAAACTGTTAAATGTCTTAGTTCATATGACCTGTGTGAGATCTTTGTAGTCTGTTGGAAAAGTTTGATTTTATCAGTCTGAACAGATTCATCTTTGATTTCAGAACTTTGCTTTAGAAAATTCTGAGTTATAGACTAATAAATACAGACGTAATATTTCTAACACATTTTGAAAGTTTCATGTCGCTCTTCATTCTGTCAACATCAAATCCTCAAACGTTTAGTTTCATGTTTTGTTCCACTGCAGCTGAAGTAGGTGATCTGTTGTTTTGGTAAATTCTGCTTCCAAGAAAAAGGCTAAATAATGGATCTTGGAAACACGATTAACATGAATAAATGGTTGATTTGATCAGGATGTTGTGTGACATGTTTTTTAATCAGAGAGGTGTCGGCTTTAATCTGTGCTTCGGTGACTTGTTAAACCCAAATTCTGGGAAAAACTTGTTTTTGAGTTATAAATTTAAGAAATATTTGTGCAACAGATCCTATTAAACATTAATTTCATGTGTTCTGTTTGATCAAAAGCGGAAAACTTCATGAAATCGATTCATCCCTGCTTGTTGGTGGATAAATGTTATTTGAATGTTTTCATATAGAAACGGTGAGAAAAATTGACCCATTTATTTTTAACCAATGGATCACATACATTTTAAACTAAAGAACATTCTACAATTTAATAAATTAGACCCTGAAAAATAAAACATAATAAAAAACAAAATGTACTGTTAAAGTGTAAAATAACAATTCAAAACTAGTCCAGTTATTTTTTTTTTTTTTTACTATCTGTCAGCCTGGTGCTGCTTTATGGTAGGAATAACTGATGGTGGGGACAAAACAAAATCACACAATATTTTCCAATGTCCAACTGTTCAAAGTTAAGAGTCCACAACTCCAATTTTACTGACTGTGCCCAAAACAACGTGATCGTTGCACTTAGTCTTCACTAAAACAAGTGTGTAAACAGATTAAACATCACTAATAACGAGCAAAAAATAAATAGTAAGATGTAGTCAGTTAATTAAATTAATAGCTACTAGGGCTGCACCAATTAATCGATTAATCGACAACTAATGGATTATTAAAATAATAGATGACTAATTTAATAATCGATTAATCGTTTTCTTTCTTTTTTTGTTTGTTTTTTTCTCTCCAAACTGCTTTGACACCTTCCACTGCCACATCTGCCTTTCTGTCCTTGACACACATGCGCAGTAGTGGTAACTGGGGTAGGCCGTGGACGTCACAAGTAGGGCTGCACTGATTAGTTGAAATAATCGATGACGTCGATTATATAAATTTGTCTACGCAGCTTTTTTTTATCGATTCACTGTATTACATAACCACCAGGTGAATGTTCATGCAATTCCATTTCGGTACCTAAAAGCATCATTGCGACCGTATTGGCATAAGAGTGGTGAGTTTTTCATGAAAATATTACAATTACAATAATATTAAAATTACAGAAAATATTACAATATTAAAGAACTGTTCTTGTTAATTTGATGAAAACATTTTAAATTTCCAGTGCACTCACATCAGAATAACTTATAGATTTATCGTTAGATTAATCGATTAGAAAATCGTTTGATACAGCACTAATAGCTACCTTTCTTACTGCTGCATTTCCACTTCTACAGTCTGAGCATCATATGGAGATCAGCCTCTCGCTCCTGGAGGGAGCAGTTTTTAGCACGGCTCTCATTATGTTGCGCTCGTATTCCAAAACAAAAGCTGCGCTCTCCTTTCTTCTGTCAGTCAATCCCAGAGCTAATCCACGGGCAGCATTCTGCTGATGTCAAAACCGTAAGTGTGCTGTCCTCTCTTATAGAACCACCGACCGGAGAGGAGGTTCTGAAACAGCGTGGCTGTGTACGGTTGGAAATGGATACGCACTGGACCGAGCCATAACTGCTGCCAGGGTGGAGAGCAGAGCCTAGTTGTGTCTCAGGTTTAAAATGTACACGGTTCTGTGTCCCCACGGAAAACTTGTGCATGACAATTTTGCACTTGGCTTCAACTCTGTTTTTGATGACAATAGAAAGTACGGCAGACATCGCTCCTACTTCTTGCTAACTTGTTAGCGCAGCATGTTGTTGTGATCACATGGGCTCTGCACGCTGGATCTAAGCGCTGCTGGATAGAGAAGCTGGAGCGGAGTCAGCGGACTGGATTGGACTGCCTATATCAGAGCGCTTTTATCTGAGATTTTGTGTGAAGGCTGATAAAATCAGATACTTGTTTTTTGGCTGATATCAGACCGATTATCGGATYGGGACACCCTCAACAGCAGCTTTGTCTCTGTAAAAAGAACTGATTTGATTGAACTGTGCATTGCCTCTGATTTAACAGTACATTTACCCCATCTGTGCTTTCCTGTTTCCTGCATTCTTCACTGTGAAACGACAAAAGTGGAAATATTGGTTCAGCTGAAAGCTTTTTTTTATTGTAGGGTTTCATTTTTAAACTTTCTACTTGATGTCATAATTGAAAGTTTTTCTCTAACAGTCATCTAAAATTCAACCCAGGTTTTTTACAGTGCTTGAAACATGATTGTTGAACGGATAATTATTAGAAACTAAAGCAAAGCCGGTCGAGTTTCAGTGATATATCAAAATTAGAAGCAGTAGCAAAAGTTTTGGCAGCTTTCCAGGTTGTTTGCTGGTGTTTGTGTTGAAATGAGGGTGAAACCAGGACAATATGAAGTGTTTAGGCTGATCAGCACCTCTCCTCTGTAGCAGAAGCTAATAGACTAATTTTATTTTTGTTAAACATGGTTTATATAAGAAACCAGCTGACAGCGTTACTCTGTTAAACTCTGACTTATTCATGTCTCTGCCTTCTCTAACCCGCCCTGTCGTTACTTTTACTGCCTCAGGAGAACAATAAACTGATCTGTCTGTGGCTCAAACCCGCATCAGAGACTGAACCAGACTGACGGTTCAAACAGTCYTCCATAAACCAGTCAGACGGCCCTGCAGCCTCTCTGCTACATCCTCTTTCAGTAAACGCTTCAGGCTCCTCTCCTGCAGGTAGACCAGGCAAACGGCAAATTCTACAAGTTTTACTTTCAAGCTGCTTGAGTTCAGGAAAAAACACTGAAACTGACTGCAAATGTTATTTTGTATTCCTAAGAAGTATTTGCTGATTATAAGTTAAATTGATTGTTTATCCAAATAGAAGAATTAGCATATTTTTCATGCTAATTTAGTATTTTTGATTTTGATTGCAGCTGTTTGARCTCTACTAAAATGTGCTTGTGTTAAAGTCTGTAATCTGTAACCACAAACACTAAAGTTTTAAACAAATATTTCAGCTGTTGGTGCTAAAAGTATGTTTTGGGATGACTCTCAGCTACTACCACTAGGCGTGCACGATAACTTATTTTAAGAACCGATACAATAACATGCCAGAAGATAAGACTAGTCAAAAATGGGTAAGATCATAACCTAAACAAACAAAACCAAATGACTCTGTAAATTATACTATTTGAAATAAACTCTTGGCAAACAATATTAAAGTATATCGAACAAAACAATTTCTCAAGTGGCCATTTTCTTAAATAAGGCACATTAATTATAAAAAAGACCTTTAGCACTGATCTCAGATTTAAACAAAAGAAAAAGTCATTCCACAAGTCCAAACAGATAAAGCACTAACAGGAGATAAAAGCTTAGGTTTTTAGCAAGGGTGAACGGCTGCTTGTCAAGCTCCATCATTTCCATCGTAAAGTGCTTGAGATCTGCATCCTCTCTGGCAATTTTATTGGATTTGTCCAAAGCCTCAGCAATGATTTAAGTCCCGATGAGTTCTTGAATGCTAGCTTGTTGTTAGCATTTTTAGCAGCACAGACTTTGTGCTGCGTTCAGGAGGTAACGGACATTACATGTTCTYARATTGGRAGTAGTTGTTCTGACCTTTTTATGTTTATAATTATAAAGTTTGTGTGTAACATACAGGGTTAAAATAATATTTATAATTCTTAAAATGACTGGTTGTTTTTCAGCACGGGGTATTGTAATTTCTCTAGTGAGAAAGTTGTTTTTCTGACGCTACTTGAACGTTACTCGGGTCGTGTTGGACAGGAAAGCGACTTGACCAAAAAGGATAAAAATAAACRTGTTCTCATCGCTGCGCTGGCARACATGAACATATATTATTGGTTCTGTTTGCTACATCGGGCCGATAACTATCGTGCAGCCCTAACTACCACACCACATTATATCTCAATATCTTTCAAATTGACTGAGTTGTGTCCATCTTTGTGTTCACCTGTGTTGCTTAGCTTGGACAGCCATTTTGACACAGTTGGACTCTGAAGTGTAATCAGTTATAGATGAACATCTAGTTACTTTCTGAATTTAATTAMAACTTGTCCAGTAGTTCATTAAGTTTAACATCACACAAACAGAACGTTACATTATCACTTTCCTTTTTTAAATAAAGTAAATGTAGAAAACAAAACCAGAAGGGTTTAGTTTTACTCTTTTCGTGTGTTTTTTTGTTTTAAGGATGCCTAAATCTTTTGGACATTAATCTTTGATATACGCTGAATTTTTTAATAATCATCACTGTGAAGTTAGTAACAGTTCCTCTGTCGTCCTACAGGAACACCATCTCCAGCGGGCCATCTCGGCGCAGCAGGTCTACGGCGAGAAGCGGGACAACATGGTCATCCCGGTCCCCGAGGCGGAGAGTAACATCACCTACTATGACTCCCTCTACCCCGGGGACTACAAGATGCCAAAGCAGCTAATTCACATACAGCGTAAGACCTTCAGCTGTTTTAAYATATATTATCTGTGAAACTTAATTCACTTTTACAGACTTTGACCAGAGCAGCTTTAAGAGAAGCTTTATTGAGCTCATATAACAGAATCTAACTGGGTGTTTAGATTTTGTCATTTCTGGCGTCTGTTGGCCCGTTTAATGGGATCAGGCGTTTGTTTAGTGAGCTTTCACACAGTTGTCACGTCACAGTAAATGAGTTTGCCTCGTTCTGTAATATCAGAGGAAATGAGTTTGCTCGATTGCTTCGTTCAGTCGTCGTGTCCGTGTCACAAGTGGTTGTTTGTTTCTYGCAAGGAAAAAAAAAAGCAATTTGTCCGAACACAGGCGCCGCTATCAGTTCAGAGCTGAAGTGACAAATGTTTGGTCCTGTTGGCAGCTGTTGGCTTGATTCCAGCTTTCTCTGAGGGCTCGATGTTAAAACATGAGTTTAGATTAGATTTAGCCTTAACTATTTTTAACCGTCTTTGTTCCACCAGTGGTGGTCTGGTCAAGCAATGAATTCAACTTTTCAATAAGTAAAATAACATTAAAAGTCAATTTAAGTGAATAAAAAAACAGTTTTATAACTTGGATGATTTATTTACAAAGTGAACAGCTTTTCTCTCTGCAGTGCATTCGTCTCTTTCTTAAACATTTCCAGAGTCTTTAATATTAAAACACTTGTGTGTTTGTGTGTTTAGGTGGGTTAGACATTTTAATTTATTGTAGTTCAATGAACAATCAAATATAAAAAATGTTTTAACTGGATTAGTTTGCTCAGATTATCACCAGTCGTAGTTTTAATGTTAAAATACTTTGTTGGGTTATTCATCGAGCTGTGAGCGCCTGATCCTCGGCGGAGCTCTTTGTTAGCAGGAGGTTGGTGAGAGTCGTGTCTTTATGTTAACTGGTTACGTTTGAAGACGTTTATTTATTTATTACATCATGACCTTCATTGGGTGGGGGGGG